AGCTTGTTCTAAGTAGGTGCTTTAGACCACTGAGCCATCTCACCAGCCCCTTGGCCCCACTCTTTTGGGCCAGTGGCTGTACACTGTGGCAGGAGTGCAGGTGTAGAATTAAAACTCCTTTCATGGCCATGACAGAGAGAAGAGGGAGGTGAGGTCACCCCCAGTGCCCTCAAGCCCCCCACTGGCCCCAACACCTTCAGAGAGCATTGCTTTGGAAGAATTGAGCTGTCACCACATGGGCCCTTTGGGGACACTCAGGATCCAGCTGTACCACTGGCCCCTTTTTGCCTACATAGATTTATTTGTAGTAACATCTTTAAACTTTAGGGAATGTGATTTATCAATGTACTATATCCTTAAAACATGAAAAAATTTACTAAAACTGGTACTTCTTTTCATAGTTCTTACATGGAAATAGCCATTTCTTTGGTTCTAAATCCAGGCAATTTTGGGTAAGATATTTCATTACCCTAGTACAAAAAAAACATATGCTTCCTTAGAGAAGATTCAAATGAAGGGCCAGGGTGGTGGCACACACCTGTAATCCCAGCACTTGAGAAGCTGAAGCAGAGAATCACTGTGAGTTGCAGGCCAGACTGGGCTACGAAGTAAGTTCAAGGCCAACCTGAACTACATAGTGAGACTCTGTCTTACAAGAAAAAAGGACTGGCCAAATAGCTCAGTGGATTAAAGCGCCTGCAAGCAGGCACAGGGGCCAGGGGTTCAATCCCTGGCAGGTCCTGCCCCACCTGCGGAGCGCGCTGAAACAGCACTTGAGACTAGGCGTGGTGGCACATGCCTGTAATCCCAGCTCTTGGGAGGCTGTAAGCAGGTGGATCACTACGAGTCCAAACTAGTAGTGAGACCCTAAACACTCTGTAGACCCTCCCCCCCCCCAAAAAAAAAAAAATTGGCAAAAGAAACTGAAATGAAAGGCTGTTTTTCACAATGTCAGGATCCTGGAAAAAAAGATTTGTGAACGACTTTAGATTTTTCTGCTTAAAATGTCAATACATATGTTGAACTGCATTTTACTTAGTAATGCATCCCAAAATAGCAGTTTTCATTTTCACAAGTTTATTATGAAATAATTTGCATATGATGTACACTGGAGCATAACTTGGAATGCCAAAGCAGAAAACTAACAGTGGGAACTGGCAGCTACAGTAAGAATGTTAGTTTAAAGCCTGTTTCTGTGTGGTCAATTAATTCCTCCATTCTGAGATGGAAGGCTGGACTTTCTACCCACCCAGGAGGGTCCTTATCCATATACTGTAAGATGACTTCCTAACATGAATTGTTCTTACATTTCCTCCTGCACATTTAAATGTATTCTGTAATCATGTCTCATATACCAAGTAAACATGTACTCATTTATTTAGAAACCCAGCTTTTGTTGTCTGGAGACAGAATAAGGATGTGTTGCGAAAGCTGTCCTTGTACTACTGCAGGCTGGTCTTTAATTCATGGCAATTCTCCTTGCCTCAGCCTCACGTTGCTGGTATTATAGGAGTGCACTATCTTGTCCAGCTTTTTAGTTACTTTAGGATGATGATGGAATGACAGTAATTTCTAGAGCAGAACTAGAAAGAAATAAGCTATAAAGGAAATTCTTTTTTTTTTTTTT